CCCAACTATTATCGTTATGTAACCACTTTTACAATAACCACTTTTTACATTTTAAAATTAATCGAAATACCGACCAAAATTACACTATCTTATTCATACTTCTGTTTAAATTCTTATCTAAATAAATCATATTGTTTTCAAAACTGTTTCAGTTTATCTATATTACTTTTTGAATTGTTCAAATCGGCTACGCCATTCAATAGATATTACGAATTTAATAACTTATAGAAATAGAAAAAAAGAAAAGCTGTCGCGTTGTAAATGTTATTCATTCCTAATCCAAATAAATTGTTTTGTATTCAAAATTGTTTCAATCCCTGCAGATTACTTTTGAATTTTTTAAATCGTAGGTGTATATTCCATTCATCGGATCAAGCTATTTTCAGTGTCAGAATACATCAGTCCATCTGAACAGTGTGGAGGTTGTTAGAGTTTCCTACACATGACAGACACCCTACCGTAATACACTTAGCGGTACACTTAGGCAACGGACAACGAGTAGACATCTCAACAGAAAACATGCAGAACAGTAGAAAATCAACCTATGCAGTAGTGATTTGCTACAACAGTACTCAATGCTAACAATAAATTTTCTAGACGGAAACGTGGGCAAGACGTAGTTGGCCACCGTGGCATAAAAAAAGATGCGGCATTGGGAAGAGTATACAATATTCATCCTTCCCAGTCAGAATGTTATTATCTCAGAATACTACTTCATCAAGTATCATCACCGCTAGTAACCTATAAAAAGGGTCTAATATACACGAGTATAATGAAATCAATAACGCCGTCTCTGTACATAAAATTGTTTTTCATAAAAATCGTTGATGTTGAATTTATTAATCTTATCTATACATAAAATTCTCGTGTCACAATGTTACCGTTTTAGAGGAGTATGGTATACTCCTCCAAAACGGCTTGACTGATTTCTATTAAATTATATTTCCATATTCTTTTTATACCCCTAAGTGATAAGGGTAACCCCTAACATTTCTTTTCATTTTTTGGTCAAACGTGTGTAATTTTTAATACCACAGTATTAAAAAATACACACAACCCCAAATTTTCACCCTTATTTTTTAATATCGATTTTAATTTATATGGTAAAAAAAATGTTTTCGGGGTCAGCTAGTGTTTATATGTTTGTCGTTGTTGGCTTATTCCAAAAGCGGGTTTACTTACATTAATTTAGTTTTCACAGAGTATAGCGATGTAGATAAGTATTGCACTTATTTGGTATTTGTTTTTCAATTCGTTCACATTAATAGTTACATAAAGCTATTGCTATTCGGAAAACCACTCTAACGAACAAGCCAATTTCGCTACATATCAATATAGTCATAATAGGTCATAAGTGCTCAAATAGGATTCGATTACTTTTTATTTTTGTTTACTGTCGTAATTTGTGTGTATCGAATACTAATATTATCTTTCTTTCGTTATTTCTTTCTTTCTTTAATAAGTATAAAATAAATAATATTATACTTATGGTCAAACTGCTCGATGCAGATTATGTTCACAGGGCGGCTTAAAATGGAAAGCGACATGGGCGGCCAAGAGATATCTGCGACAAGTTTATATATATTGCTTTTTGCGACAGTACTTTATTGCAAAACAATTCTTTTTTAAAAATTTTGCTGTAAAATATATACATACCTTATATTTTCTTTATGCAAATTAAAAGAATTTCAAAATCAATGTTATAACATACCTAAATATTAACTTAGAGTTTGGCTTGAATATTGTAACCTAAGTTTATGTTGTAGGGTGCAGACTAGGCAGTGAAATTATAGGATAAAGATCACGACTTTGGGGGAAATCAGATTGTTAGTATGTGGACTGACGATATTATTGGTAGGAATGTACCATGTCAGGTTGACCTTCACGGGGTTCCCCATGGAAACCATCGTGATAAATTCTTAGTGATTTGGTGAATGGGCCAACTGACCTGACCTCATGCTCATCTTATCATCCTCCACTGGTGACCCGCCAGCGTAAACCGTTTGCGAAAGGGGGGTCACCGATCAGTTATCATGGGTAGAAAAAAAAATCACGGGTATCACATGATAACGTAATGTCCGTATTGCTACTTATATAATATATAAGCGACGGTCACTGCTTACGTTCAAAAGGGTCAGTTTGTTTGTCATAGCATTTACATTAAAGAGTGGACTATATCTATAGAGAGCTCTCCTGGAAAACTGAGGATCACGTTATGTTACGTCATCAATGGCGGACGCTAATTATTTAACGAGAAATTCTTCTGGAGACTATCTGGATAAAGTCCTTGTGAATTCGCCTCAAGGAGCCATCTGACCTGATCTTCATTCATTACTTTTTATTCTCCATTCACACATTCTGCAATATGATATGTCGTATTAATCTTATCTTAATAATATTATAAACGCGGAAGTTTGTGAGTATGAATGTTTGTTACTTTTTGAACGGATTTTGTTGTAACTTTACAGTGATATAACTTATAGGCACATCAGAATTACCTACACATAAAAAGTAGGTCTCTATTCGGTTATATCATTTAAGGTATCTGGGCAAACGCTATAGGCGTCTATCCTGAAGCGTTTCTGGTGTTTTGTTTTATAATAATTGCTATATATGTAATTAAGAACTCTAGTTTCGTATTGATCTGGTATTTATTACCTACGTCATAATGATAGTTGATTTAACAATAAAATATAATAATTAACAATTAAAAAAAACATTTATGACAATAATGTTAGGTCAAGGTATTCTTCAAAAGATGCATATCTAATTATTTTTTGTTAATACTATAACTTATTGTATACATAACAACAAAGGTACGTTACTACGTACGTAAGTAAAATATCTACTAATACGCTACTGTTTTTATAACTGAAATTGAAAACAAGTTGATTGATGTAAAGTTTTCGTTTACACCACAGTAGTGGTAATAAAGTGGTAATGATCGCCTATTTACATGAACAACACCAAGAACATATATCCTCGGTATAAAGACCCTGGTAGGTACCCCACATGTATTGTCATTCTTCCATACAATGTAAATTAACTGCCATATCTCACCATTCAACCGAAACACAGCTTACAAAACAAGCTTCATGTCGGCTTAAATAACTGAGTCAGAGCTACCAGAACAGACAACTTTGTGCAAAGTCTATTACCTACGATAAAACTGAATTCTCTTTTTCTATAGCAACATAAAACAATATTTGAAAGTAATTAAGAATTCAGTTCACTTGATAGATCAGTACTAATTATTCAAAAACGAAGTCTAATTATATACATATAGAAAAATAATCCCTCTTTACCCTAGCAGTAGTATAAAACAGTACCTAGAAATAGATATTATATGTAGACATAAACTACAATGCCTAGAACGTACACGTGGCCGACTGAAAGCACTTAGCCTTGAAATTCATTATATATTATTACATATACATAGTAGGTACCCATGCTATGTACTTTATATCTACTATTAGCTGTAATATCTTACGTAATGCGCCCGTAAATGTTCAAACATTGAATTATTATTAGCGCATAGTCTCTCAATGTAGTAATTACTGGCTATTAACAATTACATAAGTATAAATAAGCTAGTTCATGTTAATCAACATTTTGATAATAAAACGTAACCTAAAAATTAATAAGTACTCTTTTGTCTTTAACTCAAACATACTGAAAACGCGGACCAGTGTGGTATATTTCAACACAACTCGCTTTTGATATAGAAAAGTTGTTTTGAACAAAGAAGCGATCCAAGTCGAAAATATATCGCTCAGCGGCAGAGGCCCAGCGAACTCGGGCGGATGTTATATAGCTACATAGATAAAACCTTCCGCCGTCGACAGCGCCCCTAGTGGCGTCTGAACAAAACAAACTTCATGCCGCGTACACCCTGTCTAACAGGTTTCGACAGCCAAATATTTATTTATATAAAATATACATTAAATTTTCATTGAATTCTTATAAATCATTAAATATACATTTTTTTAGTAAATCGCAATGATTATTTACCTAAGGAATTGTAATTGAAATATAAAAAATTAATATTTGGACAAACAAAACCATACGAATGGGATTTTTATGAAAAGATTCCACTTTTAAAGACATGAATGTTATCAATTTGGATGGAACTTATAACATATTAACTTAGAATATTTATATTATTTCATACAAATGTTTTTTTAATGTTAACATTAAGAAAACACTTGTATATGTAAGATCTAATTTTTTTTAATTATTGTAAATTTATTACTTTATTTATTTTCTATATCTGATACCATAAGGAGTATTAATAAAATTAAATAAATTTCCTAATCAAGTACTGAAATGGACTTATAATGTATAACGTCTATTATTATGAAGTACCAAATTGGCACTATTTTAATAATAGTTGTTATTATTAAATATAACTATTCTTTAACACCTTAAACTGCCATGTATCCACCACATTACAGTCGACTAACGAGCTATGCTATTCTGAATAAATAAACTAATATCTAGCAAATTTTGGAGTGAGCGGGAATCACAGACTTTTCTTTAGTTCGTGCTATCTAATGACATAATAGACCACGCTAAACCCAGCTGACTATTTTATATCTCTTAGTATTTATATTTAATATATAGATAAAACTATGATTTGATGTGAAATAACTGGATTCTTTTTTTCATGATTGCAAGGGTATTACTCCTCAATTCACCAGATGTAGCTGACTTTTACTAGCTTACTAACATCACAGATACTTAACCACTTTAGAGGTTTTGGATTAGGATAAACTTGGTCTCCTAGATCTGTTCCTGGTTTGCGACCCATAAGAAGTATCAAACAATGCTACAAGATATTTTCGCTTTTGTAAAATTTTATATGAATTATTAGACTAGACTAGACTGTACTATTAGGCAAATGTAGTAACTATAATACATTTATTACTATATTTATATTTAATTATGAAATTATAAAAACACTATTATTACATTTATATCAAATAATACAACAGTTCCATATAATAATGATTTTATTACAACAAACTACATTTTTATTATAAAATATCTAAAAGTAACAATTTAAAATCCTTTAGAATACGCCCAACCTTTAATATCATTGACATAGTCTTTTTTTATCTCAATGAACCTTCCCATTTCATGGACTCTAGTTTGAATATGCTTGTTGTACTTATTTTTCAAATAACTTTTTATTTCATCATTTAAAAGCCATATGTCTCCATCTATTCTTTTTATAATTGAAATTTTACGCATACCACGGTAAGATATATCGAGATGTATAGGTAAATTATGGTTTTTATTTCTAGGAATAAAATATGGAAGATTCCTAGATTCTTCTTTGGGAGGTATATATCCCGAGGGGTAATTATCCTTTGGAGATATTGCCGGAATTGTCTCAAAAGGCATAAGCCTTTCAACATAAGCCCATTCTTGTGGCTTTTTAATAATTTCGTAATCGTATTGTTCCTTCACTCTTCTGACAAACGGTGAATGTGCATAATTAGAGTACTTTTTAGAAGTCGATATTACCTGCAATAAATTAAATTGGTTAAACAAAATAAAACATGAAGTATTTTATAAAATTCTACTTAATTAACTATACCTACACATAATATACAGCCTTAGTTGTAAAATGTACACCAAGGTAAAAACTAGGTGGTACTCATTAAAACTGAACTCTTTTCACCAAAAAAAATTAGTAATACATTGTAAACTTTTCAAAGTAAACAATCAGCGTTGGCAAAATACATTACTCATAGAACTCATACTTAATTAAACAGTAAGAACAGTGTAAAATAAACAATATATCATCACTTATTAATATTTTAATTTCTCTACTAATTATAAAAACTGTAACAATTACATTATACTAAACATTAAATAATATATGTAAAGAAAAAAATATAAAAAAGGATTAGTAATATAACTGAAAATATAAAAAAAATTACATCGACTGAACTTGTTATGCAGGGTGTATAACCATAGTTCTGTCACATGTCGTGGTCAAAGCGACATTATAAGACGACTCAAGTGAAAATACAAATAAATAATTACCGATAGTGATTCCGGGGTTGATTTTATATTTAAATCAATCACATTGTTCAAGATTTGCCCAGTTTTTCCGCCAAAAAGTCGCGCAAACGCGCACCGTGACCGCAACACCGTCGCCATTTTGAATAGCGAATAGAGCGAATTGCTACAAGAGCAATAAGAACTATATTATTCGTTTCGAAGGAAACATTATGGCGGACGCCTGCAGACATTTGGGCTTTTCAAAAATCATTTTCTAAGTTTAATCGCGTGTTTATATTGAACTTTTTCGCATATTATGGTGCATTGTGTGTGTAAATAACTGTTTAATGTGATTTTTGGAGGTTTCATTGGATAAATAGTGAGTATTTTGTGTGGACATAGCGGAGGTGCGCCACGGCTAGGGAAATGATTTGGTGCTTTCGTTCGACGCACACGCATTCGGTCAGCTGTAGGTGGCGTTAGGTGTCACTCCACTACTCGAAAATATCAAAACACTGGGGTTTTCATGAGTTTTCCGGCGCGATTTTCTTAGCGAACATGCATGTAAACAACTTTTTCTGTTCACTTTTAACGTAAATGTTATTTACAAATGGCTTAAATGTCGCCTAATGTATTCAAAAAAGGTAAATTATTGTTCAATTTGACTGTAAAGTTGTGTATAATCGCGCATTGGCTTTTGTTTACTACATTTTATAGAGTCATTTTATATCTGAACCATGCCGAATTTATTAATAAATAACTGTTAAATTATATGTAGTTTGCATTTGATATGTAAATTTATGAGAATATACTGTTATTACTATATTATTTCATACAAAAATTAAAGGATATTCTTCTCCACAAATTGATATCCACTAGCACTGATAATTGTTATACAAATTATTGCATTAAAGTTTGTTTTCATTTTTTGGTTTTCAGGTTCAAATGGCATATTTTATAGAACTGTTATGGCTCAATGTAGGACTATCACAGAAATCAAGGAGTCAATAATTTTAAAGTTAAATTGTTATATTATAATAGTACAGAATAGTTGCTGTGAACGAAGCAATACAGATAGTTTACAAGACACAGTGAGAGTAAGCAATCTGTACGAGCTGAATACTGAAACAAATAGAAACCGATTACTTGTACATCATCTAACAGAAGACACGCTGATCAACAGTTTTTACCTAATGTCGGATGAACGGGAACGTCTCCACTCATTTATTCCAACATGAAAACCAAACAGACCAAGGAGGAGTCTGATAAGAGCCTCGATGAAGAGTTAGTAGTAGAACCCAAGACTCGAGCTCGCAAGAAAGCTTCCGATGTTACAGAAGAAGACAAAACTAAATCTACCCAAGATGAACCCAAAACATCTAAAGAACTTAAGAAGCCTATTACCAAGCCCAAGACTCTAGTTAAGAAGAGACCGCTCGGTATAAGAAAAACACTGCGCAGTAAAAAAGCTATAGTTGCAAAAAATGCAGTAAAGACAATTATCAAACAGGCAGTGAGGCGTGGTAGAAAACCAGCTATTAAGATTGAACCTGACAATTCTCAAAACAAGGAAACCGTCCCACTAATACCTGTCTCTGAAATTAAGAAAGAGCCAGTTGATGATACGACACCAAGCTCTAGATCTTCTAGTCCTAAAACAGCTGGTCGAAGACAGAGGCTGAGTTCTGATATGATCATGATGAAATCTGTACTTGCAGATACACCTAGCACTTTGGTGCTTGGTCCACGAACAAGTCCCTATTCCATGAGGTCAGAAAGAAGTAACAGTCCTTTACTCTCTGAAGGTAAAAATTTACGTAGTGGGAAACCAAGAAAAGTTAAAACTAACTTGTTGAATGAAGTTGTTATGAAAGAGCAGAAAAAGCGGCGTCGCTTGCTCTCTGATTCAAAAACAGCTGAAGTTCTAGAATCCTCTGAAGACTGCAAGAAATTAAAAAGAGGACGGTCATGTTCCCGGGATGGTAGTGAAATCTCAAAATGCTCAGATATCACAGAGTCTGATGTCAGCCTGAATGAACAACTTAATGACACAGATAGTAAGGAGCTCAACAAAAAATTAGATAAATCCAAGACTGATCTAGATATAGATATTGAAAATAATGTACAGATCTCGACACCTGAAAAAGTGCCTTCTCTTAATGTTGACTCCAACATAGCTGAATCCAAACCAGATCCAGAGCCTAGTTCTAATATAAATAGAAAAAGTAAAGGAAAAAGTATGAGCTTAAAAAGAAGTACATCCTTAGACTCTGATAACAATAATAGTAATAGATTAAAAATAGAAAATTCATTGGATATTGAAGACAAATTATTAATAAAGACTGATACATTTTTTGAAGCTCGTAGTAGTATACTCAATAGTATGTCCGAAACATTTAATTCAAAAGAAGTGACCAAAAATATGAGGAAAGCAAGGAGAGGTAGAAAAGCAGCTGCTACAACACAACCAACACCAAGCCTTGTGGCTAAAACATGTACCACCAATACAGTAACTAGTGACTCAACAGAGGATAAACAAGAAACACTTGAAACATTATCAAAGGAGATTGATGATCTCATTAATAATCTGGACCAAAATATAGACCGTGACCATGAGATGGCTAATATTACTGAAAATACAGATCAATTGCAAACAAAGACAGTTTCCAAATTTTACTCTTTGTCAAAGCCTTTAGGTGATAATAATAGTATTGCAACTTCTGATACACCTATTAAGGATAAAGAAACAAGTACATCATTAACAAATGAAAGTACACCTTCTAAGACTGATGATAGTGAAAATATAAGGCTTCATTATGAAGAAGATTCTGTTGATAAGACAAATAGTGGCTCCAAAAATGAAATTGCATACAAATGCAATGTAGCCAGTATAGATAAGCTTATGGACAGATTAAAAGAATTTGAAGAATTTGATAAGAGACGTCAGAGACAAGAATCTGAATCTAAATCAAGTGATAGTAAAGCCATGATGGTTACTAGTGATGTTGTATTGATTCCTAAATCAGGCGCTGAAATTAAACCACTGAAAGACATACAATCGGTGAGATCACCAGAGAAAACTATTGAAAAGGAGAATGTTTTAAGTTGCTTTGAAAATAATTCTGCAATTTCAATTGTTAAAAGAGATCAAGCAAGAAAGTCCATCGATGTTGATCTACCTAATTCGGTAACATTAATTAAAAGGAACAGTGTGAGTGCCCGCAAAGAATCAACAAGTTCGAACCACTCAAAAGAATCTGATGCCAAGAGTATATTTGATTCTTTAGGAAAAGATGTAACATTGACTGAAATAAGAAAGTCAGTAGATAAATCATCACCTCCCACACAAATAGATTTACCACAGTTTGCTACTTTACTACCTAATAACCCTACTCAGACTTTGGCGGGTGTTGTGTTAGACCCTAATCAAGTATCTCTCACACCTCGTGTGGTCACTGAGCCGAAAATAAGTAGCGATTTGAAAATCATTCCTAAACGAAAAGCTTCACTGGATGTATTGTCAAGAAAATCTTCAGAATCAGCAAATGAAGTTCATGAAGAAGTGATGGCTACGTTAGAAAAGATTAAATCACCATCGCAACAAATGAAATCACCGCCACATCAAATTAAATCTCCGCTAAATCCAATTAAATCTCCACCACATCATATTAAATCTCCAGTCACTTCCATCACACCCTCCCCAGTGGCTGCGAAATCAGAGGAAATGCCACTAATAGAAACAGAAGCGCTTCCTCCACCACCAGAAAGTGACAAAATTATTTCTAATGAATCTTCACTGACCACTGAATTAGATATAGATAACACAAAACTAATTAATAATACTGCTTTAGTTAAAAGTTCTGATGGAGAATATATTAAAAGCAGTGGTACTTCTGCAAAAGTAAAAACAGAAGATGATACCATTAAACCATCTACACAACCTGATGGTCCTAGTGACACCATTGATGAAATGGCAATCATTGAAAAATGTGAAGAAAAAAGTGATACTGAAAAAGAAAAAACAGAAGCAGTAGTTGATAATAAATCTGTTGGTAGTGAGAACAAACCCTCTGAAGCTCAGGGTGTGGCCAAGCGGCTTAAAAGTCCAGGTAGACCAAGTAAGTCTGCTCGTAATTCAATTGAGTGTTTACCTGGTCCAAGTAGTGTCTTACATGAAACCCCTGAAAGTCAAAAAAGAAAGGAGAATGTATTGAGGACACTAGGCTTGTTAACACATAAAGCAGCAAAAGAAGCTAAAATAGAAAAATTAAAAGAGAAACAACGCATTTATGGCTCTAACCTTGGTGGTATGATGTCCAATAAAGGTAAAACCAGTAAATCAACATCAGGTGACTACACTGGAACTTTAAAAACTGTTATAAAACTTAATAGAAATACTGGAGATAAGAAAAAATACAGGAGCTCTTTGAAGATGACATTCCAGAAGAGTAAAAATAGATCTGGAAAGACAGCGCCCGAAGGTGCAGAAACAGCTGATGATGATGGCGCCTATTACACCATCGAAAAGCGGGAGGTGAGATATTTTTTTAATTTCCTCTTTTTAATGGCCTATGGGTTTAAATGTGTGAACTTTTATTTATATATTTGCTACGACAATGAGCCCATTTATCAATCTACATTAAAATCTGTTTAATTATTTAAAATTGATTAAGTAAAGAATGTCCAATATTTTTTACATACTTACACTGTAAAATTGGCAGTAATAAGTAAACTATTATATTATAATGTTTATTTTATTAGTTATTATTTTATTTTTCATAATTGAAGTGCAATCATGGGTGTTTTGAAATAGTTCGTAAAATACAGGACCAAAAAAATTGTATAGGTTTAGTCAAAACTAATAATATTATGAAGTACATGACTCATCTAATTGGTAAACCAAAACTACTGAATATACTAAAACTAATTTTTGTTTATTAAATGTTTTCTATAGCTACTATTAAAAGTACTTTTACAAATGCATCCTCTATAGAAATTTACATAGAAAATCTGTTAATTTGTGTATAATTATAAGTAATAATTGTGAACTAAAGATTTAATATAAAAAAGAGATTTCCCTTTTTGGTTCATTCACTTGATTATCCATTAAACATTTTATTATATCTTTTCATACTAAAACACAATTGAATCTTTACAGACATCAATTATTCATTAAACACGTCCTTTTTACAAAAGAATTTCAATGAATTCCAAGAATTAATAAATGGTATTATTTGATTTGTCCGCAGGGCGGCGTGGGTGCAACAACAGATGGTGGGCACAGAAAATCACATTACAGTAATCGTCTTAACAACCATGGTGTGTGGACATATGCACTCACCCATAACTTTACTGTGCGCAAATATAGTATATATTAGTATTAGTTTTTGAAAACTTAAATTCTGTTTCCATTTTGTTTAAATCATGTAATAAATACGTTGTTTAAGATTTTTAGTTGTCTATATATAAATATATAATATTTGCGCATAGTTACTCCAAAAACACTTCCAATTTTGTGCTGTCACTTATATTTAGCTGTAACTGAGTGAAATTTTTGTAAATACTCAAGATCATTAAGATTATTAACTTCATTAATTTATTTTAAAAGAGTCTGATATCTCATGCTTTGAGTTTCACCACTCAATAATACATACTGCATAGATGATAAGAAATTACATTAACTTAAAAAAAAACGGAAATGGTTAGTCCATTTCCGTTTTTTTTTAAGTTAATGTTTTAAAGCTTTAACTGTAACCTCCATTTTCCATTCTCAATTTTATAAGTAATTTATTTATTATTATAATGTAAAATTTATACACATTCAGAATTACTATTACCTAAGGGAATTCTAAATGACAGCACAAAATTAGTGTTTAATTATATACGCAAAGAAAGTATATTTATATAAACAAAAAATCAATATCACTTTTATATTAGATTTTTAATACGGTATAAAACGTACCGTTTTACCTACAGTTTTACTTTTTTTATATATATTATTTTATATCTTATATATATTTATTTACTTTCTTTCGTTATAATTTTGTATTCTGGTTGGTAAATTAGTCATATTAAGCAGACTCAATTTCGCACAATCTCACCTAAAGGTCTATTTTATGATTTGTAAAATTCATTACAGCTTATATGGAGATAGGAATTTGAGTTCTAATGTTGAGAATTAGGGCTTAAATTCCTGGCTGCATATAAGCTTTAATAAATTATGCTTTATAGTCCAATCTGAATACATAAAAAAATCACAAATTAATTAGTACTAATTTACAATAACTTGAACTTAATATGACGGGTAAAGGTTACCACACTAGCACATAACAGAACAGAGGGTAATTATTGTAAAGAGCAAATTCTAATTATTATGCATGGAGCTAGCTATTTCCTTTCTGTATTCTATACAGACTATAACAGAAAAGATTTACAAATTTAATGTCATTTTATTACTAGCAGTGTTACTACTATTACATATAATATAATATAAAAAGCCACTTGAAGCATTGAAAATAGTAAATATCTTTTATACAAACTGTTCCATCACTTAAGAACCAGATTTAGTATAAAGTATACAATATTATGTATATTTAAATCCATTTTTATTGGGGTAAGAATTTAATGAATACTTGTTTCAATTTGTTTGATTTCAGATTATCATTTTCTTTCCTTTATAAGATATAAATTTTCTCTCTCAATGTCTATTTTAAACACTATTAATAAAGTGCTTTCGTATACTGCAAGCGTATGCCAAATCAGACAACAAAAGCACAAGTCTACCAATGTTTTAATTTTATACTATTTCTCGCTATTCGATGAACATAATTACCTTCTATCTCTTATTCTAAAACATTAATCAAAACTATAAAAAAGATTAAAGCATGACTTCTGTATATGCATGACTAAAATTAAATTTTAAAGAAAATTAATGAACATATTTTTCACTATGAAAGCTCTACTTACAAACAGTGCGCACAAAAATTCAACCCGGTGTACCCTGCAGCGCGAATTTGATTTTGATTGGCTACTGTGTACAATGTACTTTAACTAATTGATGGAAATAAAAAAATTGTTATTATCTCAATAAAATATATTTTTAATTAAAATACTGTAGAGAACTTTTCCAATCTATATTGAACAATTTCATACCTTATCAGTAATTTAAAACATAGTGATATGTTTAAACTATATAATATTACAATATCAAAATATTTTAATATATTTCTACATTACATAGAAAGTATGTAAGAAGTTGATAGATTCTGTATTAAAATGTTAAAATTTAATTTCTTTGTAATATGCTGCATGTATGTCCATATTTCGTAATGAGTGTTTTTCCACAGACACAGAAACAGTCCCAGAGCCTGTAGAAGCCAAAGAGACCTTGAACCTAGTTATTCCCGAGAAGGCATCATCATTTAGCATCCACCCTGGGAGACTTTGTCAAGACCAGTGCTTCTATTGTGGAGGAAAATTCGGTCTCTTCGACACACCCTGCCATATTGCGCAAATGAAAAGTTCTGAGAGGCAGAAGAAAGTTCTAGACAGTAAGCATTTTAATTTCTAAAAACACTTAAGGTGAATTCGTATAAAAAGCTTATTATAATTGAAGAGTTTATAAATGATTATAATGATTATGTGGAAAAATGTGCTGATAATATACGAATGCACAAAAATGAGTGCGTAGCGGTTTCTATGATATTCATCTCCTTGTGCATTTACATAAAACAACATTTATTTTTTTAAATAAATGTTGTTTTATGTAAATGTAATATTTATGTAAAAATTTTTGCACATTCTTGTAATGAGTCTGCATTCCGAATAAGTGGTAGAATAAAAAATAGAACTATTGTATATTATAATGAAAATGTTTATATTAAGTTTATTTGTATAAAGATAATTTCCTATTTCTTAAAAATAAAATATCTCTTATTCAATAACCGACTAAATTTTATTCTGCGACAAAACAGGTTTGTACCCTGTGATTGCAAAAATAAATTAATACATTTTAAATACAACAGTCTCTATAAAGTATCTGTAATGTTATTTACAGATGAGGAGAAACTAACAATAGACAGTTGTCTATGCGACGCGTGCTACCGCCACGTGGACCGGCGCGCCAACTGCCCCTCGTACCGCAAGCGGCCCATGGTGAAGCAGCCCACAGACGTGTCCATGCTGCCCTCGCCGCCGTCCAACCCGTGAGATATTCTTTCTTGTACACTCTTGGACTAGTCAATATAAAAAGTAACTACGAACTCATTAATTTATTTATTTTGCAACACACTTGCTCGTAAAGTGGATCTAATTCCACCAGTTTCCGATATATAAAATAACTCAGTAAAAATGAACAAAATATAATATCATGATTTTTATTCTGTTTCCTCGCAAGTGTGTTGTAAAACGTCGTACGATATACGTGCGTATTTAACACACAGGGGTCAATTATGCCCTAGCACCGGCTCGGATGAAATTCCGCCTCATGTGTTATAACCATCATTACGCACTTATATCGTAATATTTATTCTAATATATCTAAAAAATCTGAAATAATCTAATCAAAAGAATCTACAACTGTATATTCTTAACTACATTACTATAGCTTACTTACAAAATGCGATTGGTAATATGTTTTATTTGAAGACTTCGACGAATTCTTGGCAAAATTTGTTACATGATCAAGTTAGAGCCGTCTTAATATACTGTGACTTTAAAACTCAACGTATTCTAACATTAGATAATTTAAACGGTATAGACAAAATGAGAAGATCCCGAGTCCGTCCCTGGAAGAGGAAAGCGAAGAGGACCCGCCCGCGCCGCCTCTGGCCAGCGGACGACCAGCCATCTGCCACACAGAGGGCTGCACAGCTACTGCCGATAACTTCATCAGACGCAAATGGCTCATCAAGATGAGGAGCAGTGTGAACAAAGTGGTGAGCACTTGTGTTACATATTAAAACTTCTTGACGAGTCTTTATTAATTACTATTTATCTTAGCTACAATACGTGATGATGAATGTTTTTTATGAATAATAATGGTATGATGCACCCGCCTGCGCTAACCGTTTACACGAGGCACCAGTGAGATGATAAGATGAACATGAGGTCAGGCCAGTTAGCCCATCGTGACAAATTCACTAGGAATTTATCATGATGGTTTCCAGGGGAACCGCGTGGAGGTCGATCTGACATGGTATTGTTGACCATATTTGCACAGTACCAACGGTTTTATCTATCTATGATCTTGTTCGTACACACTTTCTCTCATTCTTATCTTTCACTCACAGTTTATTGATACTTTTCTAGGAGTAAGCCTCTTTGATCTGATAAGATGCTGCCCTATCAATAAAAGTACATTGCTAATTTTACTTAATATTATAAACGCAGAAGTTTGTGAGTGTGGATGGATGGATGGATGTTTGTTTGTTTGTTACTCTTTCACGCTTATTTATTACTGAATGGATTTTAATGAAACCTTACAATAATATAGCTTCTACATCAGATACATAATCAATGCGGAAGTAACTTTGTCTGTCGCGCTTTCACACCAAAACTCTCTACTCTAGTCTAGACTCTGAGAAACTATATTAAGGGTTTGAAAGGGGAAATGAAATGTTGTAATATCATCACCAGCTAATAATAGCTAGAAACTTGAAAATTGTTTTTTAGATTGTTGATTAATATATATATGACATTCAAAGTTTGTAAATATTTTAACCTTAAAAAAATCATTAAATATTTTTTCTTTATTTGGTCAAGGTGACTATTCCACGCGGACGAAGTCGCGGGTACAGCTAGTAGGCTATAAATTTCATGAGGGTGGAGCGGCTAGTTGATTGTATATTAATAGTATAATATTGATCAGCTGAAGTTGGAGTGCGACTACCCCGGGCTGCACACGATCCCGCTGTGCAGCGTCCACCACCGCGCGCTGGCGCCGCTACAAGCCTGCGTGCTGTGCCGCAGGCGCATCACCAAGCATCACAACGTGCACTTCATACACCACGTATGTACACACACTACATCCACCACTAAACTCTGTTATTTTATCTCAGAGACTGATTTGATATTAACTATGTTGACTCATCAAACATCACAACATACACTTCATATACCACATATGTGTAACTCACTATATCCAGCTCTATACACTGTTTTTTTTATATCTCAGAAACAAATTTGACTTTACGTTTGTTGTCACACCAAGCATCACAACATACACTTCATACACCTTGTATATATACACACTAAATCTTCCACTAATACACTGTTTTATGTATCTCAGAGACTAAATAGGTATAAATTTAAAATTTTCAAATAATATTAGCACAAACAAACTCCACAACTTTGCTAAAGGTTTGGTGAGCCGATTGCAAGATATGGATATAAAAAAAATATTATGTGAGCTGTAGCGGGGTAGTTCTGTACCTGTGATGCAAATGTGTCGAAATTTTTTTTAGATGATTAGTTTAAAAAATATAATTTGGAAACTACGTAGAAAGCTGTTAACAGCTTTCTTCGTATTATTTCTGCGTAACGTTACCGTACTGTACCGTACTTCTACAGTACCGTCCTGGTACTGTAGAAGTTCAGGTATATAGTCTTGACTTAATTACTGGTTACCACGGCATGCCTAAATATTTAGTTTGTTTTATTGTTTTATATATATTAAATTGAAATTGCAAATGGACAGGATTTATAAAAATGTTCTTGCAGGGCTACACGGAACTGAACCCGTGGCTGCAAGAGGCCGGCATCCCGGTGCAGTTCACGGAACGACCGCTGCTGTGCAAGACTTGTCGCGGGTACTGCACGCTGCTGCAGCGCGGCGGACACAGCGAGCCGCACGCCAGGGGCTACCGCCGCAAGTACGTTATTTATTATATAGACGGCCTCGGTGGTCTAGCGCACCGCCTTACTTTCTGATGATCTCGGGTTCGATTCCTCAAAAGTATAACAAAATATTTACTTGCATACTTATATTTTTAAAAAAAGAACTGTTATACAAATCCTAAGTTCTGTGTCAAAATATTGCAGGTTACTCCAAATATACAACATAGAAGTACCGCCAGGATCTGATAATGAATTCGACGAATCTAGTATGCAAGAGGACTGTAATTCTAGCATCAGCAAGCAAAAGAAAAAGCAACGGACCAAATCGAAACAGAGAAAATCAACAGAACCAGAAAAGACAGGTGATAGTGAATCTTCGGAAAGGACTAGTCCTCACAATGAAGAATCTCTAGATAAAGATAAAATTAAGGAAGAGAGTAATGAAAGCCAGAAGTTAGATCAACCTATAGAAGAAGATATAGAAAGTCTTATTTCGTCTAACAAAATTTTAGTGCCTGGAGCTATCAAACAAAATACTGAACCTAATGCACATAGTGATGGTTCAGAATCAGAAACTGTGTTTGATATGGAGACGCCTTTACTCCCGTTAGATAAACAGACAGAATTACAATATCTTCTCCAAAGACAAAATAATCCTGCTCAGTTCTTACAAAAGACGCCAAATTTGACACAAAAGCAAAAGAATATTCTAAAATTACAGACAATGTCTGGTATCCAGAAGCCCGGTCAACAGCACAGGATAAATGATAAAAATGCTAAGAGAATTCATAAGTTAGGGAATATGGTCGCATATAAAGAGAAAATGACACAAAAAAGCAATGACATGGAAATATATGAATTTGACAAGTCCAGAGATGCCATTCTTAAAAATATTACACTAAACGATGAGTGCACTATTGAAAGTATACCAAATAGAAAACAGGCTGATATAAATACACTGAAAAATAAGTGGCAGTTGTCTGAAAGCTTCACTCAGGTTAAGAAAAATTTAAGTGAATTATCAAGAAAATTAGGTGGAGAGAAAGAAACAAAGAAAGTTACTGATGGCAAATACTCCAATCCTGTTAAAAGACTGGAAACAAACCCATCAATATCTGTTCGAGAATTGTTCCCAGGAGAAGAAGAAATGAACTTGCAGTGTAATATAGAATTCAGTAATGTTAAAGGTGTTACTCCTGAAGGATGGGAAAAATGCAATTCTTTGATTCAGTATGATGTAGAAACTAAGAAATTATGGAATGAATTGCAAAGACCTTATGGTAATCAGTCCAGTTTCTTACGCCACTTAATATTATTAGAAAAATATTTTAGAAGTGGGGACTTGGTGTTGACTCATAATGCGTCACCTCACGCCGCCAATTATAGTGACTCTGTGCAAAGTAGATTGCGTGCTTATGACAACATCAGCAATGATGCCCCCAGGCGCAGTGAGCCAGCCATTAGTTTACTGGAATACCGCAAGAAACCATCAATAAATGGTAAAAGCTTGCTCAAATCTAACCAGCATTCGGATACCGACAAAGATCCCAAGAAGTTCATGCCACCGCCAGGTATATTCCCCAAACCCAAAGCTGTAAAAAATAGTGACAAGACAAAATCCAAACCATTGCCTCCTGAGCTAATAGCTATTAATACTCCAAATGCTCAAGGTAGGAAAGCTATACAGAACGTTCTACATAACATACAACAGCTCGTAAAAGACGTATCGGCTTCTGACCCTACGGAAGTTGCTGCCGCGCCTCTACCGGGTCCCAAGTTCGATCAAGCCAAATTTGAGCCTGTTAAGGAGAAAAAGCAAGATGCACAAAACCCTAAAGAAAAGAAGGAAATCTCAAAAAGTGATACTCCAAAACGTCAAAAGACAACTAGCAAACCATGGAGACCAACACTGATGCCTATTACTCCCGTGAGTATACATTCATTGAATTCATATAATTTTACTGTAAACTGCATAAATACAGAATAAAAGCTCGACCATTAGCATTCTGGAAAGTGATCTTTTCATTTCGGTATTAGTATTCAGTCTGTATTAGTCCCACTGAAATAGAATTAATACAAATAATATTGTACTCATACAGTCACTCATCACCCAAAGATATTTTTGCTCATAGTGTTTTTATTCAACACTTGTAACTTTCTGGAATGAACACTGGTTTAAAAAGCTTTCATTCTGTGTATATGTGTTCAATATATTAAATAATATGAATATATTATTTAATATATTGAACACTTTATTATTTAATATTTTTACTCCTTACAGGAAAATATGGCTAAGATAGCACGCGAGCCGACACAGGTCGCCGTCGACGGCCGCAAACTTCACAGCCTCGTGCAAGTCATGTCCTCGGGAAAACGGTACCACATTACGCTTCAGGACTACAACAAGATGTGCATAATGAGGCGGGAGAAATTACAACAGTTACAGGACAGTGAGTCGAAGACGAAAAGGCAGTCCACTGAAGAGACTAGCGTGGTAACGGAAATCCAGCCCTCGGCCATACTCGGTAACGGTGGCACCGTCGTGCAGAACATTACCGAGGAAAAATCACAAGATAAACCAAAGGATATGCCCGAACTGAGTCAACTGAGCACAAACGCCGCAACGATACTCAAGAATGTCGGTTTGAAGAACATTACGATAGCACCCATCCCGCCGAAAACGGCGACAGTTACTTCGCAGACACCGCCAGCCCCTGTGGTGTCGTCTGCACTGTTAGTGACCGCGGCTGCCAGGCCGACTCCGTCAGGCCCCGGCCTGGCTCCCAGGCCGCTGATCTCAACCGGGGGCCCGGCCCCCAGACCGTTGCCTACAGCCCCAGGGTCCACGACCAGAGCCACCCCACCCGGAGCTGCCGCGAGGACCACACCGCCTGGTGTGGCCGAGGTGCCTTCTAACCTGCCCGTGTTGACTACACACATGATCATGCCCAAGATCCCGAAGTCGCTGACAGTGATCCCGCAGACGGTAGCCGTTGCGGCGAGTGGACCGCAAGCGACGACCGACGGAACGCGTCCATAACGACGCCTCATCTTCGTGGTCGTGTAGCGACGGCCTCACGTGACTACGCACCCGTAAACGGCCGTATGTTTCACTATATTTATTCCGAACTGTGGATGGATGCGTATTTTGCTGCCAATGGATGAATGCCCTTGGCAAATTTCCATACAGTTTTGTGAAAGAGATCGCATATTGGTCCTGCTGTGTAGTGTTAGTCACGTAACCCGAGACAATGAACTATTTAATCCCGTTTAAATTATTAATAAATCATATTTTCTTATTGCTTATGTTTAGTGATACTCGCCTCAGGTTGGGACGTTGTGATGTGACGCAATAAAGTGATTAAAAGTGATTCTGAGGTGTGATGCAATATGTTAAGTGAGATCACCGGTCAGCCTTAGTAACTATATACTGTGTATATACTAGTATAGGGAAGTTGGACATTTAAATGCGCTGTGAATAATGGTGACAAGGATTGTGTTAAATATATTATTCTCAAATTATAGGTTCTCTTTCTTTTATTTATGCAAATGATACGTTGGTATACATCATTGATTATTAAAATCAATTGAATAACTATTTTATTGATTTCATAAATGGAATAAGCAGTAAGGAAATTTTACATGAAGCTATGTATACATGAAAATGCTGATATTATAATTGCATTGTGATCTTTCTACTACTAGTGGTACAAGTAGTAACCCTTGTACTTATTATAGCATAGTTATTTATATATTTTAGCACTTACTGTTGACAGGGATATATTAGGGGTAGGTATAGATATACAAATTATCAGTAAAAATCTTTATGAGTGTGGGAAATAGAATTAACTTTATTGATATAAAAGGATGATAAAACTAGGCTACAGACGCTGTACAATTTTATTATCATAATATTATACAATAAAGCTAATCCATTTGGATTTATACAATGCCGAAGTATGTGCCACTGCATATAATTAGAATATTTCTAAAAAGCAATTTTGTGGCACTCTTTGAATATCATTAATAGCTTCATATAAAATAATAGTATTCAGGGTGTAAAGGAAGTGCTACCGAATACTACTTAGTGTAATTTCTTCAAATGGGTTTGCATTTGAAATAAACCCGATCTACATACACTTTACACTGCTTTTATGTCGCATTCAGTTTTCGGAAATATTTTCTAATAAGTAAATTTACTACTTTTAAATACATTTAATTTCGTAACACTTCATTGATGTATATTATAAAATAATTTCCTATAGGAGATGCTTATAATTGTACCTATTTTTTTAAATAACGATACTACTATAAAACACTGCTTTCTTTAAAGACGGAATTAAGAAAAGTAAATCACAAACACTATTGAGTCATGTGCCTAAATTTAACATGACAGTTTCATAAATTCTGTAAACCTTGTATATAAACCCTTGTGCCTTGGAAATAATGGTGCAGTGTGCCTATTGTCGCTAAATTCCTTTTTGTAATGATTCACAAGATGAAACCATGGAATGATAAGAAGTGCGTCTCTCTGTAGAGTATGTAATACAATTATTGCAGTTCCTCCAAATAGTTAATTTTGAAGTAGCCACTGAATTGATAAACTTCTATTTATCCATTATACTTGTTACATATTAATATATGTAACAATGAATTAATATTAATTGACAAAGTATCATACATATACAAATATATTCATACAAAATAACATATACAACTTTAGCAAATGTTCATGTTGTAACTCATAAAATTTTATATAATTACTCATCCATAAACTATAATAATAATCTGTAATTTTAACAGTTCTGGGTGTATTACAAATTGCTATAATCCTGTTATATTGCAACATATATAAAATAACACTATAATGACAATTCTCTTGCAACTCTGTCAGAAAAGAACCGAATAAGGCTTATTCCATTTAAATAAATTTGTTTAATACCATTAAATTATCTTAAATATTATGTTCAGTTACAAGCTAAATCTACAAAATTCTCTAGTCAGGTTATAAAATATGCATTTATAAATTATTGTAATGTGTTCATTAGTTAAAACACGATTGGCCCACTGTTACGTACCTCGTATCATTTGCGTGAACATAGACAAATCACTGTATTGTATAGAGTTGTATAGCATAAAGTATAGTTTGAATATCACTGGAGCATATTTTTCCACTGTTGTAATTTAAGATATCATATGAAATACACATGATCATAGTATGTATACATATATATATATATATATATATAAACCACTAATCTTTTAAAAATGTTGCCTCGTTATATCTTAATACCTACTGGTTTTTCAGTTAGGCAGATACTTGACATATGTAACAAATTTTAAGTCTATTTCAATAACATTTATTTATATCCATATTGCTTAAATGAGATACACACACATACGAATAATTAAGTCATTTCTATAATAGCATTGTTTCTAATTACATAATGAATAATTAAAAGTATATAAAAATATTAAAGTAGAGCCAAATAAAATAACTAATTGATTTACAAAGTTCATCAAAATTACAATGGTGATTAAAATTGTGCCTAACAATGGAGTATAACTTATAATACATGTTATATAACGTAAACATATTAAAATAACAAACACTATATAATGACAACTTACTCAAACCACTACTATACGGAAAGTTCTTACAGTTTATATTTCATAAATATCATGGTTGATTACATATTATATATATATTGTTGAGAATTACTAGTATTTTATTTTGGTCCAATTATATAGATTATGGTCCAATGTTACGATTAATAATGTACAGAAAATTTATATTCCTTATGGCGATGCTATTACTAAATCATGAAATAATGAATGTACTGCCCTAAACAGAACTGCATTCTATTCGCAATACGAAGGGCATCGCCCTAAGGAATCCTTTTGAATGTTATAATACTTACTAGTACCTATTTTAATATTTGGAAGTTCCATTATGAATTGTTTTTTGGTTCGCCTATTGTCGGAGTGAAGTTGTGCTCACAGTTTTTGAACAAATTGTAATCCCTCAATAACCGGATGTTTTAATTTCTTCCAAAGATAGTGTGTTAGTTTACAATTATTAATTTTTAGTTTATATTCGGCGCAACGGCCACTACGTGCCGGACGTATGAATTGTGTAATAAACATATCCTTATCTCCAGAATATTGTGTTTTCTTAACATTATTTGCAAGTCTCTCAATCAACTCATTGCCTATTTACAATAATATAATCTATGTTTTTAATTAATTTTAACTATTGCCTCTTTCTTCTTTGTGTGTTTTGAAACGCCTTTAGTTCTTTTCCATTTCATTCTTCTATTCTGGAACCAAACCTTTACCTAGAAGAAAATAATTCTGAATAATTCTCTTCTTGCTCTTTTATTAAATATATGTATAATACTAAACCAAACCCCTCTTCCTCAAGTTACCCATGAAGTAAGGAGGGGTGGGGCCACTATGAACATAGGAAATGTTCATAGTGGCCCCACGTGACAAAATAAGACCACCACGAGTCGTGAATAGTTTTACGTAGTCATCCATCATACTGGCCCCATATACTAAAGATACTTCAGAATCTATATACCTATATAGTTTGTATAATAAAGCATCTACAGTAAAAACTACGAGTTTGATGGCATACCTAATAGTTACACATAACAAGTAGACAGATCTCACATCGGCGTGATGTTTAGAGAACATATATGTTAAAACTATTATAGTTTGCATAGGCACCTCATTCTCACATATTTCAGCCGCGAAGCTTTACCTTATAAGCTGGGTTTTAGTTGTAGAGTGTAAATTACAAGATAAGAGGTATCTGGAATGGCACCGCATGAGTGGTTGTCACTTGATGACGTAATGTCCCTATTGCTGTTCATGTATAGACCACTTACTATTAGATAGATCGTCGTCATGTTTGCCATTACAATATTTGATTTATGAGATAATGGAATGGTGGATCCTCCTGCACTCACAGTTTACCCTGACGGGACACCAGTGGAGGATGATATGATGAGCTCGAGGTCAAGTCAGTTAGCCCATCGTGGTAAATTCACCATGAATTTATGACAATCCCCTTCCACCCGATTTTATAGATTAGAATATGTTCAGGTTGTAGTAAAAGTGTGGGGTGTGTGTTACTGCGCGGGGTCCGTAGCATTTGATATTTTTGCTACTAGGTTCATTCGGCACTGTAGATATAAGACACATCACGACTACCCCTGTAGATTTACATGTTGGTTGCCCACCTGTCTTTCGGTAAGATTTAAGGCGACAGCAATCTCGTATCTCCGGAGTCTAGTGAGATAGTTGGCACGAGAAAACTCCTCTTCCAGGCTTCGTATCTGCGCTTTAGTGAAGGCAGTTCGTTCTTTACGACTGCTAGCGGTCGATCTCAACTCTATAAAAAAATTATGTAAAAAAGTTTTAATCTTGGCATATTTTATACAATGGTAAAAAAAAATTTAATATGTCATGTTTAAAAAGTATGGTAAAAAATCCTAGATTATTGTGAAACAATCGTACCTATTACTTAAATAACTGTATCTTCACAATTTTTTATGAATTATCACACTATGAAGATTTTAAAATCGACAAATGCAATATAAAAATGATCATTTGCAGATGCGTGTAGTAGCGCCGGCGCCTATCTTCTGTTTATGCCAATGTTTTATAGATGTTTGTCAAGTTTCCTGGCGCACACAGGTGCATTTTATGGTACATAAACTAACTTATGTTTATCTACTAAATATACTGTTTACTGACTCATCGGTCTTCTTTTTAGAGAGAGAGAGAGAGATTACCATTGAATAATACCTACCTAATATTTTTGGAATTAATGTAAAAAGGTATTTTTGGATAATTGTCCATATCTTCACTATATTTATAAATTATTTTGCAGCCGTTTATTTAAATTATTTGCTGTCTTGTTGTTAACACTAGATACATCTCATCGATAAGGTGACGTGTTAATTAGTTATTTACACAATGCATCTTTCTCACGTTTTATGACTAATAACGTGAAAATTCCGATTTCAAAATTCGTTCTTATATTATTGATTAGCTACATTGGTAGACAATAACATGGGCTGCAGTTTTTAATTATATAAAACAAATACCCTACAATAATATTTGTAACTTTTGCAATCACAGCGTGGGTAAATAAACTAAGGTGAACATCGAAACAAATCAGCCCTAATAATTTTAAAAAGTTAATTTATAAATATATTACCTTCTTCACTTAGGCCAGATGTGGTACCACCTACTTCCGCGTCATTTTCTTCCTTTATAGTGACATCGTCCCATCCTGACCACTCCCACTGGTTGCTATCAGTATCACACGCATTATCAAACACATTATGCCTCTCCATGTTTCTATATTCATAGAAAATAGGAAAGTAATTTTGATGAACATTTTGTTGATTGGAGATATCGATATCATTATTTTGATATGAAATTGGCTCAAAATACGATGGCTCTAATTGATTCTCTGTCACATCTTCAGAATGTGATAAAAAATTTGTTTTCAAATACTCCATATTTAAATAAAAGAAACTAAATCAACACACGCGTAAAGTATTAACAACACATTGTTGATATTTATGAATCGTATTCAGATTTATGTCTACTTGATTTATAATATTTACTAATTCTAATGATAGGTCTAAATAGGAACGTTTTCATGAGCGAAATCACGAACGTAGTCTGAGTACGCGCATTTCATTTCAGTTGTACTGAAAGGCGGAGCTTAGGGACATTTTGGGCGGGGAGTGCGGATGTTACATTTGTCAATGCTACGGATATATTTACACATATGTATTTCTCTTAATTACATAGAGATGCATGCAGTACGAGATAAAAACGAGATGTTTTTTCTTCAAACTTTAAGAAGAATGTATGTATAAAGAAATCTTCGTCAAACTGGTCTAATATTGATGATTCTACACCTCTATTTTCGCGTGAATTGAATCCTATTTTTATTCGAAACAAACTTAACAAATGTTTAATGAAGGAATAATAATGTTATATGTATATATGCAACAGCAGTTTGTGTCATCTTTATATGACAACCCCTGTAAAGCAATGGCTAAATTACTTTTTACTTTTTACATGATATAAATGTAACCGTAGGTTCCATACTCTGTTGAACGAATTTTTTTTATAATAACTATTAGATACTTTTAGACCGAAATAATAATACATACACCTCTATCGCTAAGTAACTTAAACCTATCCAGACTAGTTCTTCAATACTTAGTACTCCAGGAAGGGCTAACTAACCTGACCTCTCTGCTACGTGCTCATCACTGTATCATCCTCCAATAGCGTTCTGCATACGTAATACCGTTAGCGAAAGTGAGTACCTTCGCTAACGGTAAGAGTCAGAGGATGAGGATGAGGATGCACCATTCCATTATCATGAATTAAAAAACCTTAGTAGGTATTTAGGTACAAGCCACCATCGAAGAAATCGTATTATTTACAGTAGCTGCGTGTACCTCTGCTTTACCTATTTAAACCGTCAAGCAGTTATTACACCAGTAGGTACTTTATAAAATGTGTCTTGATTAAGGCAGAGGCCTCCGAAACAGCAAAGAGTAAAATAATAGATTCCTTCTTCAAAAGATTTTAGAAAGATAGATGTTAACAGTCAGACAGACATCAACAAATAGACATACACACATAGGTATTTGATAACAAAATATAATAAAATAAAACAAAGTATATAAAAAAGAAACAATTACAAATATCTACAGATACACAAAATTTCACAGTGATGCAAAAAGGCAGTAACTTGGTGCATTGTTTACTCATGGAGACACTTTCACATGATATCTACAGTAAGAGGCTATTAAATCCTTTTTGTACAGTCATAAACATTTTTATATGACGTAAGTGCTCTGCTGGTTAAAAAAAAATTGTAAATGGAAGTAATTAGTAAAAGTAAGTAGGAAGTATATATTCAAAGTAATTGTTGCACTAAATTAATTAATTATTTAAAATCGAATGATTTGTATGTGAGATTGTGCCGACTTGTTGACATAAGCTCCTAGTTAGTGAAACCCCACGGGATCGCACTTTGCCCCCTGATTCTCACGCTTGCGTCAGTCGCCGCTACAAATGGGTAGCTATTACTGATAAATGAAAGGTTTATGATTTACTTCTCAACCAGCTAAAAAAATAGAAATTCTTAATTTTAACTGTATATATGATATCAGATTTACATAATTAAGAATATTTGATTTTTTTCTACAAACCAAACCGATATAAATCGTGATGTATTTAAACATTGAACTAATGCTACCAACATGGCATGAAACTCTGTCGATTGTTGACAGAATCATGACAAGCATATCATACATAAACCTTTTGAAGTAGATTTCCTAATATATGTTCACGCCAACATTTTTAACAAGATAGGCACAAACAACTTATTGTTAGGGCTATAATCAACTCCAGTTTTATTCTTCGAATGTAAATATTTCTGCGTGTTACATAATTACGTAGGTTACGCTACATGATACACATACAGTGTATCGTGTTATGTAGTATCTTCGAGACCCGATATTATTGTTTTATTTGTTTATTAACTTATTTAATAATAAATACCAATAATAAACGCTAGTAGGCACGTACCTACTTAGATCTATGAGTGTGCTCGTCTAATACTGCCGGCCTGGTTACATGCATCATTGCAAGTTCCTTTACTAATAGATACAGTTCTGACTACATCTAAATGAATGAGCTATTAATTTCATAACTAGCCGTGTCCCCTATAATTTAGATCAATGATAATGATTAAATACACTACCATTTCCCGCGACTTTATCCGCTTTGAGTCAGTAGCAATTTATATAAAAAGGCTGAGTAGAAAGAATTCATACTTGTAATAAGAATTTATTCAAAACTAACGAGCGCCGGCGACAAAGACTGCTAAATATTTGTTTTGATACGATCACGTGTCAACTCTTAAAATGACCACTTCCCGAGTTCTGAATGGCGTCATCATACATTTCAAATTATTTGTCCAAATTACTTAGTGTGAAAAGTACCTAATTATAACGTATGATTTTTTAATAGTAAATTACACACTGTTATTGCGTACTGTATCAAAATTTTTACAGTTCATTACAAAATGCTACAATGCTCAAATAATTTATATATACGTACCTCCATGTACGATTTCTTATTACAAATCTATGGTATTTATGAGCTTTAACTCTCACATTTAAGATTTTATCGACATACTTGACACCACTTTTTAAATTATAGCCTATGTATTCTGATGGAAAAGCTATACTAAAGTAAGTAATGTAGTAATGTAAGATACTAATGTATAAGTTTTTACCTCATATTTTGATTAAGAAAATCTTTTCAGTAGCATTTCTTGCGTGAAAGAAACATACTCTGTGTGTGTTAGTTTCATTTTAAGAATACATACATAATAAATATAACATATCAAAATAACTCAGGACAATTCACACAGCTCTAACTGGTCTTAAGTTGAGCTTGAGATACTAGGCAACTGTTGCTTACATAAAATGCTTACATACATTTAATTGTAAATACATACACCTACATCGAAAACACACAGATCTGGACAAAAATCATTCTAATGAATGTTTATGCCGTGTAAGAAATAGAACCTGCCACCATCGGAAGTCAGGCGATGTGTTAAACTGCTAGGCCACCGAGTCTATCTACCGAAACATCTATCTAAACTTTCACCTTAGTAATACCTAAGTTTAAGTATTATTATAATGAAATATTAATTTATGGAATAATTTTGTTCAGACACTCGAACCTACAAGTATAACAAAGAATAGTAATGACAAATGGAAATACATAATACGTATAAAAAGATATAAAGATGTCATCCTCGATTGCAGCCGACTGTGTAGGTAACTATTATGCGCGTATGCACAGTGCACACCCCACGTCAACGTGTTTTGGCAGCTGCGTCTCATGTTCCCGGCCGATGATCAATATATTGATGTACATACTTTCTTTACTGTTTTTATAACTTTAACAATTAAATTTGCTAGGGCAAACTAAGTGAATAAAGTTATAAGATGCATAGACTCCAGTACTAACTAATACTAATATTAGATACTCATAAAAATAGCCAACATAGGATAATTCACACAGCGTCACCGAGTGCCGATGTGGTAGTTTGTACCTACTACCTATTTAATTTGATGATTCCTCCATTATGGATCTTAAGTTGCCGGCCGATCAATATACATCTTTACTGCCTTATTTCTTATCACTTAACAATTACATTTGTTAGGAGAAACTAAGTAAATAAACTAATAAGATGCCTAGACTCTAGTACTAATACGTCCAGTAATAATACCTAATACCTAGGTAAACCAGGACAATTCACACAGCGTCATGTAGTTTCTTGGCAGATTTTATACCTACCTAATAATATAATTATATAATTTGAAATTTGGTGAGTTTGCCACGACAGGCTTCCTGGTCTGACTTCATGATCATCCTATCATGCCCCTCTGGTGCTTCGCCAGTGTATACCTAGCGTTAGCATAGGCGAGTACACCAATCCATATTCATCTATCAAAAACAAATTTTTGAAAGTATTATTTAGATATAAGTATGGATACTTACTATTTATGGACATGATTAATACAATGCTGCGTCCAAATATTGCGGTTGCGTCGCTGATGAGCGGACCAGACGCGATTAAAGTCATATCCCGCTTTATTTATTGTCGGTAAGTTCATTAATAATGTACACAAGGCGATTTTGGGACACTCTATTTTTATCTTTTGTAAATGCCGCTTTTTTATTTGATATATTACTACCTATATATTATAAAATCTAGGTACCTAAGTAGGTACTTACAGTATATACTTACTTATATAAGTATACACTTACTTATATAAGTATATACTTACAGTAATTAAAGTAGGATACATGAATCGAGTAACAAGGAGAAAAGTTTCTGTACACTTGTCTATGTCAGTAAATTTTTCATCAAAATCCGTTCTGTAGTTTTTGTGTGAATACATCATATATAGCATACATACATCAAACAATACATCCAACTAGTGTTTATAATAGAACGGTCTATCTATTTAAAATCCGCATATCTATCTGTGAAAACACAGACAAAATAATATGAAAGTAAATTTTGTCAATGGACAAAGAAAATTAATCACAATTTCGTAATTATTGGCGTGAACAATGTAAGAAATCCTGGTCATTTGTAAATACTATAAGGTATAATCTTGTTAAGAGGTATAAAAAATAATATGGACAATAATTTTTCCATTTTTTTTTTATTCAAATTCAGATTTATAATAAATGTAAGATGAATAATAAAAGTAATTAAAACATATCTTAAGAGTGAGTAGGTATTCTGCGAGATTATTAGATATGCAATGTAACAATCAATTTAGAAACAAGATTGCATTCGTGAATAATATACCTATATTTAACAACCATGTAACTAGGCATGTTATTAATTTACTAGTATAATTTAAGTAACATTGTCTTATTCGTGACAATACGTAGA